GTGAGACTGCACCTGGAGTCCTGTGTCATAAAATGACTAGGATAGGTTACTCAGGAAAGAGACCTTCCTAAATGTATCCCAAAACCCAGAAAAATAAATGGATTTTTATGATCATTGTTGCCACGCAGGCAAGCTGAAAAAAGTAAAGAAAAAGAGGAGACGGGATGAAGAACTCTCTCCAGAGGAGTCTCCACGGTACCACCATCACCAGACCAAAGTTTTTGCCAAGTTCTCTCACGACACACCCCCACCTGGGTCCAAGAAAAAGCACTTGTCTATTGAGCAGCTCAACGCGCGCCGGCGGAAGGTGTGGCTGAGCATTGTCAAGAAGGAGCTGCCAAAGGTGAGCTTGGCTGGTGGCACTAGAGCAGAATAGATACTCTAGTGGGGAGTTGATACTTGGAAAAGCAGGGTGAAGCAAGACCTGATTTTTTCTGGGGGTCATTAGTGACCAGAGTGATGCTGGGATGTGTAAGAAAAGTGTAGCTTGATTTATTTTTGTTTGGCACCAGTGATAGCTCTGGATCATGCAGTGCTTTGCCACTGCTTTCATCTGGCTGTGCAGCTGTTTTCTCTGAACAGTACAGCAAACTCTAGCAGGTACTCCTACTCATCTACAGGATAGCAGTGGAGGGCAAACTGGTGTCTTGTTTTACACAGAATTCAGGAAAGGAGTGTTTTAATCACTGTAGCATGAGTGGGTTTTGAAACTTATTTCAGAAACAGTCTAGGGAGAAGTGTTACCCATCCACCTGTAGATAAGCTTCCCAAATTCACTGCAAGTGGGACCTGCTTTTAAGCTGTTGAATGTACAACTCCAGTCACATGAGCAACCTGCAAAAGTAATCTCAAAAGTAGGACACGTGGTATTGTCCTCCTTATTGCTTTTCATCCAAGTTCAGCCAAGCCTTGAGAGAAAGCCAAAAGGAGAATCAAAAGCATTCTGCTATTTTGGTTTCAATCACACATTTCTCAAGATATGTTCTACAGCCATCCAGCAGAGAGGAAAATCCTCTGCCTGGTTGTGAGAATCATCCACATCTCAACTTCAGTTCAGGGCTCGGGGTTCAGACCCCAGCACTTCAACCCCCATGTCTTTATGTCAGTACCCCCTGTACTGGTGAGGCCACCCTCACGTCTTTGTGTCAGTACCCCCTGTACTGGTGAGGCCAGAGCTTGAGTACTGGGCTCAGTTTTGGGCACCACAGTAGAAGAAGGTGCTGGAGTGGGTCTGGAGAAGGACAATGAAGCTGGTGAAGGGTCTGGGGAACGTGTCTTCTGATGAGAAGCTGGGGGAACTGGGATTATTTAGACTGGAGAGTGGAGGCTCAGGGGAGACCTTTTTGCTCTCTAACTACCTGAAAGGAGGCTGTAGGGAGGTGGGTATTGATCTCTTCTCCCAAGTAACTAGTGATAGGCTGCGAGGAAATGGGCTGAAGTTGTGCCAGGGGAGGTTTAGATTGACTATGAGGAAGAATTTCTTGACTGACAGAGTGGTGAGGCTTTGGAAGAGGCTGCCCAGGGAAGTGGTGGAGTCACCAGCCCTGGAGGTGCTCAAAAAACGTGTAGATGTGGCACCTACATATGCAGCCTTCAATACCTAAGGATGAAAAGCTGTTTCAGTCAAAATAAAAACCACTTGGAGTACTGTGAGAAGCGAGTCCTCATTCCTGTACTTGTTACACAATAGCACCCAGTTACACAACGTGTATCTGCTGAAGACTGGATAGTGATCTTTTAAAATACTGTAAAGCAATTCCCCTTTAACTAATTTTAAGACTGTTCTTTTACAGGCATACAAACAAAAAGCCTCAGCTCGCAACCTCTTCCTAACCAACAGCAAAAAGGTGAGTGCTGCTTCACTTCATACTGTTGCCTTTACTGGGCCTAATAAGCAAACTGGGACCTCTTTGTGTTTCTTCTGTTTCTGACCATGCTCCTATAGCAGGACAGCACTTTATAGAAGGAGTTTGTTATTTAGTCTGAGGCATTTAATATTTAAGACGTGTCATTTTGGTGTGTTTCATAAGGAGTGGACGACATGGATGACAGGAATTCCTTTCATGAGTTCTTTTTGGCTTTTTTTAAGATCTAGTTTCGTAAATTTTTATTTTACTGACCTTTGATACAATAAATTAATGAATTCAGTACACTTTGTTGGCTTTTGAACTGCCTTTCTAGCCACTAGCTAGAATTTGCAGATTCTTTAAGTCAAAGGGCTCTTGGACTATTAAATGTGTTAATAAATTATATATATATGAGTTGAGATTAAAAATAGAGCAGTTTTCTCCTTAAGTGATTGCAAATGGAATTTATCTCCTCATCAGAGTCTTCTCTGAGAAGTGTCATTGTTTCTGCCTAGAAGGCTTTGATTTAGGAGCACTTGGTAGTGGCTTTCTGAACATCTTTCAAGTGTTAGACTCAAGTGTCTGGTTCATTTTTATGGCTAATGAAGAGGTAATCAAGTACATAGCTGAGAATTAAAATATCTTGAGAGACAAGACAATGTAGAAAATTTTCTGTTCTGTATATTTCTCCTATGTTATCAAGGAAGGAAACATTTTCTGTGTAAGGGATGCAGAAAAGACCTGCCTGTATCTATTTAAGAAACCTTTCTGTGGGTAGGTTTTCTCCTCTGGTGCTCCTTAGCTAGCAGAGACTGGATTTCCTTGTGACATCCAGGCAAGCAGCCTGTGATTATTGTATTTGTAGCTATCACAAATTGCATTTTAGCAAGTGAGTGATGCAGCAGCTTAACAGGTTTTGAAATCTTGCTTCTTTTTTTCCCCTTTGTTTTTGTTTTGTTTGACAATTTGAAATCTGTGTGTTAGAATTGTTGACGTGCAAATTTCAGCAGAGGAAGAAAAACCTGTCACAAACATCAAACCCAGCAATTTTGACCATTGTGACAATGGTATTAATTTATTTGTACTAGAACAAGAAATTACAGTGCATTATGCTTTCCCCATGGTAGGATACTCCCCCATTTTTCAGTGCATTAACATGAATGAGATTGTGTTCCACCAATACTGCTATTGCAGCAGCCTTAGTATAACAGTAAGAAAAGAACCACAGAAAAGTGTCTAGAATAGGTGAGTCAGAGTTGGAAGCAGGCTCTGAATTCTGGTCCTGAGTCCCTTTTCAAGGACCTACCCATCAGATCAGTCCTTTTAAGTACCATGCCATGCTGAAACTGTCCAGGTTTTGTCTTCTTCACCATCTCAAGTGCTTTTTGGAAGTTCTCTTTTCATGAGATTCTTAATGAGAGAAGTATTACTGCTGAATAAAGTATCACAGAGGATTTTTTTTCTCTTCTGAAGGATCAGACTTGGTTATAACTAAATTTGATGGTATTTTTTTAAAAATCTGCCCATTTTGCCACTGTTTTTCTGTCTAGCTTGCCCATCAGTGCATGAGGGAGGTACGTCGAGCTGCCATCCAGGCCCAGAAGAACTGTAAGGAGACTCTGCCACGGGCACGGCGTCTTACCAAGGAGATGCTCCTCTACTGGAAAAAGTATGAAAAGGTGGAGAAAGAACATCGCAAAAGGGCTGAGAAAGAGGCTCTGGAGCAACGCAAGCTGGATGAGGAGATGAGAGAGGTACAGCAAAAGCACAGATTGCTGATCATTAATCTGTTGAGGAGACAGAGAAGGGACTGGATAATTTGAGTTTCTAAATCCAGGCCATGAAATTCAGTCACTTGTTCCATTTCAGCAGCATTCCACAAATTTCTTCTGCTGTCTTAATATTCTTCACATAGCTCTTCTAATGTTAGCTAGAGGTGGTGAGAAAAGCCTTTGAACTGTGTAAATTCTTTACAAGTGGGTGAAATGGAAGAAGGGATTAGAGAAGAAACGTGTCTCACAAACATACGCAACTTGGTGTTGGTAAGGGCCAGATTTTGTGATGGTTTTACATCCTTCTGTGTCCAGAAGGAAAGCCACTTTGTCATTCACACTGTATTGTCTTCCCCCACCCCACCCCACCCCTTTTTCTCCTTTGCTGTAAACTGATAGTGTTAATTTATGGATGAAGCACAGATTTTTTTCAGTGATTGCTTTTTTGTTGGCCAAGGGACAGCTTCATGGACTCACTTACAGAGTGATAAGGGTTGGATTTGAAAAAAAAAACTCCCTTGCCAAAGGTCTTTGTTGGATTTATGGTTGTTACCTTATGTGAGGTGATGAGCTAATGTTGAATCTGTAGAATATCTTATGTTTAGTGTTAGGCTTAAATTATGCTTCTTTTCATTGTGTTTCTCTCATTGTCACAAATTTGTAAGCAGTTTGTGAAGGTTTCAGCTGACTTAGGTTAATAGACAACTTCTAAATATAGCATTTTTTTAACCAGAACCTAAGAGTGAACAGGATTTCTGCAACATCTTGCTGAACCCCAAACAGTGATACCTCAACTGTGTTACCTAGTGATGTATTTCATCTGTTCTATCATAGTTCAACATTCTGTAATTATCTAGTAAAGAGGAATTAGGTTGTCATGAGAATATTTTTAACTGTTCAGTTCTTTTACTGTAGACCACTAAAACCTTGTTTATTTTTGCCCACCTTTTAATTTTTCAGTGTAAACAAAAACTTCCAATCTGCCTTTTATTAGATTATGGTGTTCTTTACCATGAATACTGAACTGAAAACTTCATTTAAAACAATTTTGTATGTTTGTGATGGTGGTCAGTGTTCTTCTGTGCAACTAGTGTTCTAGCATTCTGATATCACAGTCATGTGCATAACAATCTAGGTGGATTAGTTATTGATGCATCGTTAGATTAAATTTTTTTTCCTTAATTGTATTTTAAACATTAAACTTTTGCCCTTTTTTTTTTAACCTCCTCATCTGTTTTTTATAAATGCCCTTCTCTTAGGCTAAGAGGCAGCAACGAAAACTGAACTTCCTGATCACACAGACTGAATTATATGCCCACTTCATGAGCCGTAAACGAGACATGGGACACGATGGAATCCAGGAGGAGATCCTGCGCAAGCTGGAGGACAGCTCCACCCAAAGGCAGATTGACATTGGGGGGGGAGTAGTGGTCAACATCACTCAAGAAGATTATGGTAAGCCATTCAGCTACAATCCGTCCCCTGCATTCTTTTGTCATTTACTCTATTCTGCGTGTTATTGTGCAGACTTTTAATTCCAAACATGGAATCCTTCTTTAGATACACTGTTATAATTACTGGGGTTTCTCTGTGTGTGAATTTGGGTATTTACTGCTGCAGAGCTCTAACGTGGAGATGTTGTTTTCAGATAGTAACTATTACAAGGCCCAAGCTCTGAAGAATGCTGAGGATGCTTACCAGATTCATCAGGCCCAAGTATGTATTTTTTGGATCCATGAATTCAAAGAGAAAGCAGAATAACTAGTGGAGGCTACAGAACTAGAATTTTTCATAGCAGCCAATTCGAGTAGGTTTGTTTAATCCAAAAGAGGGGGCAAGATTTGACATTAATTCCATTGCCACTTCCTGTTCTAAACAGGTTGAAAACCAGACTATAAAGGTTTGGGCTGTAGGAACAGGCTTGTTTTCTGTTAGTTCTGGCAGATATCCTATGTCTTAATGTAAAATATGAAGCTTTTTACTCTACATTTGATAAGTTAGTATGTTCATCATTTCATGCATACTTTCCTCTTCCTATTTAGACCAGATCATTTGATGAAGATGCAAAGGAGAGTCGGGCAGCTGCATTAAGGGCTGCTAACAAGTCTGGCACTGGCTTTGGAGAGAGCTACAGTCTGGCAAACCCATCCATCCGGGCAGGAGAAGATATTCCACAGCCTACTATTTTCAGTGGAAAACTGAAAGGTTACCAACTGAAAGGCATGAATTGGCTGGCCAACCTGTATGAGCAGGTATCTTAGTAATATGTCTTGCAAATGTTTAAAACTTTAAGGATTATTGAAGTCATTAGAGTAAACTTGGTCAAGAAGTGTGATGGTTTCAAAAATAGATGCATATACCAAGTCTGTCATATCTTTAGAAGAAAGGAAATTATCATATAAGCCATCTATCAAGGTCCTTTATAATTTAGGATATAACTCCTTTGGGACTTTAAGTTCAAGATTCTTTATGTGGAGGTTTATACAACTGTTTCAGTTAGATTACAAACTGAGGGAACTTCTGATTCTCAGAAGTGCACGCTGTTCAGGCTTGGGTCAGCTGGTTAACTGTAGGCAGCCTTGTTCTTCTGTGCATACCCAGTTGGCAATGTGATTGCAAAGTGCAAGCAGGCTGAGGAAAAAAAAGTCAGCCTGAGAAGTGCATTAAAATGCAGTTGAGATAATTTATCTCCTAGTGAAAGCTGTAAGAGACAATAAGGTGTTTCATAGTGGTTACACTGGGCTGCTCCCTCTAAGTTCTGTGGCAACTGTTCTACTTATCCTGTGTGGATTAAAAAGTAGAAGGGTGAAATGTGTTGATTTATGGATGTCTTGCAGGGCATCAATGGGATCCTGGCAGATGAAATGGGTCTGGGTAAAACAGTACAAAGTATTGCTCTCCTTGCACATCTGGCTGAGGTAGGTGGAATACATTTATTCCTGGTCAAGGTACAAGAGGTGTACTTTTAACGTGTGTGAAATGAAATCTAGATTATAAAGCCTGAATGTCTTAAAAGATAGTTTAGTTATGGCATTTCACTTTGTTTTAATGCTGTGCCTTTGAAAGGGTGTGTGGGGGTGTATGTGTGCAGAGGTGTGTATATGTATGGATATAAATAAAAATAGAATTTTCATTCTAGAGTACTATCTTTTTACTTGCACTTAATGTGAAAGCTTGATAGGAGAACAAGTTGGAGGCTTCATGATTCACCTCTTACAAATCAGAGACTTGTAGAAATGAAGCCCAAACTCTGAGCTTCATGGCAATCAGCATGGATTTCCAGTTTTCAGTGTTTTTTTTTCAGGAGGTGTGGTGATTCTTACGTGCCAGAGCAAACAAACAAAGCAGGAAAAGCAACAGGAGTTTACTTCTTCATGCAGAAATAGATACCTTTATTAAAAAAAAAAGTCTTGATCGACATCTAGTCACTTGCCTTAAATACAAGATATTAAGCAAATGATACTGAGAGCAGAACCAGCTTCAGCAGTGGCTAAACAACAATCCTATGCAGTTGATTATGCTCCTTTTGATACCAGCTCATTGGCACTAGCAGCCACAGCAGTGAAAGTGTGCTGAGCCAAAGGCCCTCCAGCTCATCTGTATGGAGGGGATACCAGGAGGGCTTGTCTCCACATTGCACTGCAACTTGAGAACTACAGGGCCTGTTAGTAACATGAAGGTGGCAACTTTCAGAAACAGTTGATTATTCTCCTTTTGATACCAGCTCACTGGCACTAGCAGCCACAGTAGTGAAACACTGTGCTGAGCCAAAGGCCCTCGAGCTCATCTGTATGGAGGAGATACCAGGAGGGCTTGTCTCCCCATTGCACTGCAACTTGAGAACTACAGGGCCTGTTAGTAACATGAAGGTGGCAACTTTCAGAAACAAAGGAGCAGGCCAGCCTAAAAGGGCAGTGGTGGTTCTGGTTTGCTGTTACCAAATAAGTCTTAGTTAAATATTAAATCTGCTCTGATTCTATCTCACCCTTCTGTGCTGAGAGGAGGTTTTGTTACATTGCATATAGTTCCTTCTCCTAGGTAGCTGCTGTCATTTGCTGGTTGTAAAACTGTATCAAACAGTCTCTGTGTCCCTTCCCCTCAATTAATTTCTGGGTGTCTTTTTTTTTTGTATATATTCCAGAGAGAGAACATCTGGGGACCTTTTTTAATAATTTCACCTGCCTCTACTCTTAACAACTGGCACCAGGAATTTGCCAGATTTGTACCTAAGTTTAAGGTAATAAGCATGTGCAAGAAAGTTTTCTGTTTTCTCAAAAGCAAACTCTTCTGTTCTCCTGAGTTCTTTGCCACATCTGGATGCTTAATTGCCTTGGAATTTGAAGCTCTGTAATGGGCTTGATTCTGATTTTTTTTTTTTTTTCCCTGTCATCCTGTTTTTCATGGAGCATTCATTTATCTAGTATTTTAAAATGTTCTTAATTGAATCATATCAGCTTCCTTTTGTAACTTCTTAAAGACACCTTTGAGATTTGGAGCTTGTCAGTTGAAGCATGAAGGTGTTTAAGGCCTTTCACAACCTCAGAAACCACCATTCCTCACTTTCAGTCTCAGTTGGGTGTAGTCATTTCATCAGACAGGAGATGGCAGCACAATATTATGAACCAGTAACTGGTTTCAATGCACAGCAAAGATCTGTCATGGGACCCATGAAGTTCTGAGCTATAATGAATGAACAGATTTCTCTGGCAGCAGTGCTTACTTTTACAAATTGTGTTAATGATGTCCAGAGCAGGTGTTTATCTCAGATTTTGGGGGATAGTTCTGAAACACAAAACCAATGGGACAAAGAACAAGCCCACTAGTCCATAGGGTTAACTGTAGCACTGAGGGCAGACCTCCTCCTGCCCTAAGCAAAGTAACATTTTAATTTTTAGAAAAACCTGACTAGGAGATGTCACATGCTATTGAGTGTTTGGAGATTCTCAACACAGCTTAATCTAGTCTTGTATTAGGCATAAGTTGCTTGAAACCTTTGCCTGGAATGCTCTAAGTATTTTTAAGTGCTTTCTGGTTTTTCTCTGTGTTAAGAAAGATAATTTCCCCTTTTGCTCTTTTGGAGGAAGAGGTCTGGCTTTCTGATTTTGTTGAATACATAAATTCTACAGCATGTATGTATTTATTTGAAAATAATCTTTCTACTTTTGTACTGTTGCAGGTGCTACCTTATTGGGGAAATCCCCATGATAGAAAGGTCATCAGGAAGTTCTGGAGTCAGGTAATACCAGCATGCCTGTGTGCTTTGACCACCTTTGTGCAGAGTAAATCAGAAGCTGTTGCTGCACCTCATCAAGCTAAAACACGTGTTTCTTCATCCATGCAGTAACTTTTTCATTCAGATAATGATGTATAAGGCTTCACTTGTGCTGGAGAGCAACACAGTACAGAGCAGTTCAGGGCAATGTGGAATTCAGTTGGAAAAACTAGAGCTCTGTGGATAAAGCAGGAAGTTTGTGTCAGGGACTCATGATTCTGTTTGAGTAACCCAACTCGGGATGCCAAAGTCCAGCATCCCCACAGGCCTGTCAGATTGTTCCTGATTTAACAACAGCATTTTGTAGGGTTCTTTACCTGAGGCTTGTCTGGCACATTAAGAAGCAACTAAAGTTGCTCAGGGACTAATGGGCTGAAGTCCAGATCCACCAGTTGAATAACTGTGTTGTAATTAATTTAAGAAGTTAGCTGGGGAAAAATGCTTTAACAGTGAGAAAAGATTATAAAAGAGAAGACTGAGATTACAGTATACATAAGTGAGCTCTTCTCAATGTATTTACATTATATGGACATTTGTGTCTCCTTTTGTGGTTACAGAAGACATTGTATACTCAGGATGCTCCTTTCCACGTGGTGATTACCAGCTATCAGCTAGTAGTCCAGGATGTGAAGTATTTCCAGCGAGTGAAGTGGCAGTATATGGTGCTGGATGAAGCTCAAGCACTCAAGAGTAGCTCCAGGTAATAAATTAACTGGAAACAAAATCTTCCCTTTCTGTCAACCTCTTGAATTGATACTAAGATAATATGAAGATTACACAGATCGATAGAAGTTAAAAATGGACACATGTAAAACCCTTTAAGTGTCTAACCTAGTTAAGTAACTGTATAATTCAGTGGCACTGAATTGGTCCAGTAGATTTTTGCATTTAGATTTTCTTTCTCCAAATATGTAAAACATAATTAAGTAGTAATTGTGGAGCAGAAACTTGCATGGAATGCTGGTCAGTGAAACAAAAGTTTGAAATGCTGCTCACCTTCTGTCCTGGCTACTCACAGAATTCTGTCTAGTGAAGTGCCTGTAGCCTTTAGTGTGTTTTGCTTATTAATTTGCCATTAAATGCATCATTTTGATTTCTTCTTCAGTGGCACTTCCAGACACAAATGAAGGTTAAAACCCTGTGAATACTGTTGGCTACAATAAAGCCCAATTTTTATCATAAGACTCTGTGCCAGAAAGTTTTCTGTTTGTTTTCAAGTAATGGATTTGTCCATCTTCACTTCTGTAATTGCTTTCTTATAACCTTTGTCCAAGTTACCACTGTACACAGTGAGTTGAAGACTGCTTTAGATGCAGACTCATTCTGACCAGTCTCTCTTCAGCATTCTTTGGAAACCACCCCTCCAAGAGGATTGTAACCTATAGCTTAGCACTCCTGCCACAGTAGCCCATACACTCAGTGTTACAAAGTCTGAAAAATACACAGATTCTAATTCATAATAACTGTTTATTTGGGGAATTATTCTTTTAATGAGATTTTATTACTACCCAAACATTCGTATTAAAGGCTAGTAAAAAGATGCTTAGAAAAATAAATTATGGAGCTTTCTTTGCAATTTATAAAAGGTACTTCCTGTAATTGTCCTTTCAAAGTCTGGGGAGTAGCTGTGATAGTTTTACCCAGTGACCTCATAAAATTATTTGGGAAGGTCACTGGATACAGTTGGTCTTAAAATACCTCATGTTTAAAATTGTTTTGTATAGAAAGATATAATGATTTTTCTTAATTTTATTCATCAGTGTTCGTTGGAAGATCCTACTGCAGTTCCAGTGTCGAAACAGATTGTTGCTGACTGGCACCCCAATCCAGAACACGATGGCTGAGGTACTCAGGAGCTCACAGGAGTGGGCTTTTCTTTGTCACAAAAATACATGCTGTGTATGTGTGAACAGTTGAGAAACTGTGTGTATGGTTGTGGGGTCCTGCTTGTAGCAACAAACATGGGATCAGCTCTGGGAGGGAAAAACTTGCTGTCTAGTAGAGTAGTTTTGCTCATGAAGAGCTTCACTGGTTGGCATCCCCAATTACCTTGCCCACAGTAAGGTGACTTTTGCTGATCTGTTGTTTTCTCCTCTCCTTTTAGCTGTGGGCCCTGCTGCATTTTATCATGCCAACACTGTTTGATTCCCACGAAGAGTTCAACGAGTGGTTTTCTAAGGACATAGAAAGCCATGCAGAGAACAAATCTGCCATTGATGAGAGTGAGTGCAGTGTGGAACTGCAGTAGTCTTTTATATTTAAAAAAATCTGGTGCCTTTTTCAACTTCTAGTGGATAAACTTTCCATTTTTGTATGAGAAGTGCCATTTAAAGCAGAGGGTTGTCTAATGGGATTGGAATGTTATGGATTATTGTCTGTAGTTTGTCACAGTTTATGTTTCTGACTAATGTAGTATGTAGAATGAATCAAAAAAATGCAGTGAAAATGTTGGTTTTTCTACTTACTCAGTCCTTCTTCCCAAACATGGGAGAACAATTATTTTAAATATTTTTAAATATCTGCCAAGAACATCTTCTTAGAGGTCTCCTGAGTGTTAGAAGGTTTAGAAGTAAAAATTATGACACAAAGCAATAAATGCCTTTTGAGCACCAAGAAAAAAAGCATAAAGATTCTTAAAAAAAAAAATCACTGTAAACATTAGGGGATGGTTATGTAGAAAAATCTAGCTAGGTAAAAATCTGATTTGAAATTGGAGTAGAACACAGCACAGTTGGAACTTGTCACAGGAGTAAAGGTTTAAGAGTTCTTAAGTAGCCAGAATTTTGTTTTTACAGGTTCTTGTAAGGACTGTAGTTGTCTTGTCAATGTGTGCCCTGTTCTTGTGATGCTGTAGCTTTGGGGGTTGAAACTTAAAACTGTGATGATCTCTTGTCATGGATTAGCTCATCTCATCTGGAACTTTTTTCTTCACTGATAGTGGGTGATAAATGTCACCACATATTGTTCAGCCCAGGGAAATACAGGACTTTCTAAAATTCTGAATTTGGCACAGTTGAAACTTGTCACAGGAGTAAAGGATTTAAGAGTTCTTAAATAGCCAGAATTTTGTATTTATAGGTTCTTGTAACGACTGCAGTTGTCTTGTCAATGTGTGCCCTGTTCTTGTGATGCTGTAGCTTTGGGGGTTGAAACTTAAAACTGTGATGATTTCTTGTCATGGATTAGCTCATCTCATCTGGAACTTTTTTCTTCACTGATAGTGGGTGATAAATGTAACCGCATATTGTTCAGCCCAGGGAAATACAGGACTTTCTAAAATTCTGAATTTGAAAATGCTTTAGAAATTCATTCTTTGAAGCAGATCTTTAGAGATTCATAAGTTAAACAGTGTAGCTCAGCACTCACTTACAGAAGAGAATTACCAGGTCTGTGCTGTAGGAACCATGGGGGGAATGGCTGAGCAGCAAGGGACTTAATTTGTAGTAGGACACCACAGATTTTTCTTCTTCAGTGGAGTAATTGTTCCTTCGTGCACTTTCCCTGTATTTCAGACCAGCTGTCCCGCTTGCACATGATCCTGAAGCCCTTCATGTTGAGAAGAATCAAGAAGGATGTGGAAAATGAGCTGTCAGATAAGGTGAGAAGAAGTAGTTACGTGGACTGTTTCAGCTTTATTGCCATAGCTCTGCTCTGCAATGTGGTTTTTGCAGACTGGTTTGTCAGCTTGTGTACCTGAATTTTTATTGTAGACCACTCACAGATCTCCAGTTTCTGGCACTGCACCCCAGCAGTCTCATTAGATGTGAATGCAACTGAAGAACCCCTAATCAATGAAACTTTTCTTCTAGGGAAAACATTTTGTTAATGGTTACAAAAAAAAAAAGAACCTTTAAGACCAATTAAGTTGACAGAAATGCCAGTAATTGAAGTGAGATTGATACAGCAGTGATTGGGGGATAAACATCTCCAGATGCCTTTGGGGAGGATTTGGTGTAGTTTCAGGATTCTTTTTGCTTGCTTGTACAGAGCAAAACATGCATGGTGGCAGCATCATACCCTTCTCTCTTGTTATTTATTTTCATGTGGATGTTAGCAATATTGAAAGAGTTGTGGTCAACATGTCCCCAGGTTTTGGGACCACTGGTTGTGAGACATCAACTGTATTCAGATGTGCTTATTTTCAGAACTAGGACTTCCCACAGATGCTCCTGTTGTGGTGCACCTCTCATTATCATGGGCTTCTGACATGTGTTTAAGATGGCTCAAAATGGATAGCATTTTAACAGTAGGATAGTCAAACTGAGGTCAGATTTTAAGCTGATCAGCTGCAGATATGATGTTTTCAGAGCTCCTTAAGAATCTGTTTACTTAGTTGTGCTCAGATACCTTTAAAGGTCTGTCATCTACACCATTACCTAAGACTCCTAAAACACACCTGTTGGTTAAGTCCTTCCCAGGCTGGATCCTGAAATACAGATATGAATGCAACTGCCTATATATGATTTTTCTGAGAAAGTTTTGTTTTCCTTAAGATTTGTTTGTTTCTGTTTTGTGTGTACTGATGCAACCATCCTCCATTTCAGAGACAGAAAAGGGTAAATCTTCATTCTCATTTTGCAGATTGAAATTTTAATGTACTGCCAGCAGACAAGTCGACAGAAGCTGTTGTACCAGGCTCTGAAAAACAAAATCTCTATTGATGACCTCCTGCAGTCCTCAATGGGCACTACCCAGCAAGCACAGACCACCACTAGTAGTCTCATGAATCTAGTCATGCAATTCAGGAAGGTAAGGCTTTTCTAAATAATAAATTTTAAAAACTTTTATCAAAATACAGCTTCTAGAAAACACCATATAAAAAAATATCTGGCATAAGCAAGCAAGTTTGCATGTGGTTCCAATTTGTTTCTGATGCAGTGTAGCATGAAGTTGGGGTAGAAAAGCTTTAGCCAAATGGTGTGTGCATCTGCTAACTGGTTTGGTTCCAAATTGGTTGTTGAAGGAAGTAATTCACTTGGGAAGAGGAGGCAATAGCTGTTACATGATCAGGAAAAGATCTAGCTACTCAATTTTGAATACTGCATCATGCTGAAGTAGCTATGACACATTAATCTGTATTAAAATTGACCTGGACAGGCTGGAGAGCTG